TTCCCGAGACAGGGTTTCTCTGTATTGTTTTGGAGCCTGTCCTAGAACTTGATCGGTGGACCAGGCTTGTTCTCGAACTCACAGAGATCCGCCTGCCTCTGCCTCCGGAGTCCTGGGATTAAAGGCATGCACCACCACTGCCCGTCGATAATCAACTTTTTTATTATTGGTTTGAGACATAGTCTCACTTCGTAGTCCAGGCTGGCCTAAAGTCAAGTCTGCCTCAGCCTCCCAAGAGCTGGGATCACCATGCCCTCTTCCATTTTTTTCCTCTTTTGGCAGGTCCTCACCCATGCGGCCGGGACACTACCAGTCATCCCCAAAACAGGAACCTTTTTCTGGGGGTGGAGGTGGGGGTTAGGGCTTCCTCTGTGTAGCCCAGGCTGTCCCAGAACTAGTTCTGTAGACAAGGCTGGTCTTGAACTCACAGAGATCTGCCTCCCAAGTGCATTGAAGGTATGCACCGCCACCCGGTATATAGAGCCTTCATTTTTCCATATAAATTCAGTTCCTCAGGCCAAGGGTGTTCACTCATGCTTTCTCAACCAGCTTGCTTGGGGCCTTGGTTTTGGTAGCACTGAGGAGAGACAGGACAGGGAGTTTGGTAAAGTTAGCTGGTGCAGTATAAGTTCTGTAGATTTTATCACAATTTGTTTATTGTAGCCCTGATAAGCCTCTATCTCATGAACCCCCAATATTAACTTCTTGAATGCTGGGATTACAGAATACTACCACAAGTGGCTCATTTTACAATTTTTTCAGTACTGGGATTTGAACCCAGGGCCTTACACATACTAGGCAAGTCCTTTGCCATTGATTTACATCTCCAGTCTTTGATTAACACATTAAGATTTGCTCTTGTGCTGACCTGAGCAAGTGGGAGCTCACAGACCCAATCTCACAATGGGAACCAGTAAAAGACCGAACCAGGCCCCCTGAACGTGGGTGTCAGCTGGGGGGCTTGGGCAGCAGAGGGGCCTCTGGCAATGGAACAAGTATTTATCCCTAATGCACCAATGGGCTTTGGGAGCCCATTCCCTATGGAGGGATACTGTCTCAGTCTAGACACAGTGGGGAGAGACTAGGTCCTGCCCCAAATGATGTGACAGACTTTGATGATCCCACATGGGATGGGGGGGATGGAGGGAATGGGAGGACTGGAGGGAGAGAGAACTGAGATTGGTATGTAAAAATAAAATTGTTCTTAATTTAAATAAAAAGTAATTTAAAGAAAGGTTTGCTGTTGTTTCTCTTTCTGTTTTTTTGAGACAAGAGTTGAAAATGTATAGCTCTGGCTGGCCTCAGACTCACTAGGTAGACCTGGCTGATCTCAACCCTTCATTATTAGCCTGCTTCTGCCTCCAGTATTTGAAGGATTAAAGGTGAATGCCAACCACACCCTGAAAGTCAGGGTTTTGTAGACATTTTCTGGTGGTAGTGACGTGTGTGTGTGTGTGTGTGTGTGTGTATCTATATATGTATGTGTGTATCTCTATATGTGTATGTGTGTTTGTGTGGGGGGGGGGTTCTTTTGAGACAGGATGTCTCTCCTTTCTCATGTAGCCCAGGCTGACCTTAAACTTGCTGTGTAGCTGAACTAGCCTTGAACTCCTGATCTCTCTGCATTCACTTTCCAAATGGAGAGATTACATCCTGGGATAGATGTGGAACTGAATATCCATTACTAATAGCTCGAGGACTATGACCTGGCTGGCATGGGTGTGGGTCTGAGGTGTGATTAGAAATCCAAATAGAATGTCAGATCTGCATGTTAGGCAGAATGCTTCCCCTCCCCCCCCCAGCCCATGCTTGAGGAACCCTCTAGACTGACTCCTGACCCAAGAGCTGTCTCTGGAGTAGTTTTTAAGTGAGACTAGAGTTGGAATGAAAGACAGAAGGTGAGTTCAGGTGGAGGCAGGAGGATCAGGAGATCAAGACCACCCTCGGCTACATAGCAAGTTCAAGGCTAGCCTGTGTTACCAGAGACTCACAAAACATCCACAGCATTCAATCAGTAAGTAGCATTCGTGACAAACAAAACACATCCAGCCCAGTGACTTTTTGGCCAAAAGCCAGTTCAAGACATAGCTACATGGGGAGCTGGGCTGCCTTTCCGGAAGAATGACATCACAGGTACGAAGCCTGCTAGGTAGTCAGCTCCTGATAAGCAAGCCCAGAGTTGTAAACATCCCTTCAGAGACACAGACTTTAAAAAGAGAAAGAGAGGCAGACCTAGGCAGTTATATGGGCACATGCCTTTAATCCCAGCACTCGGGAGCAGAGGCAGGTGGATCACTGTGAGTTCAAGGCTAGCCTGGTCTACAGAGGAAGTTCCAGAACAGCTAGGGCTACACAGAGAAACCCTGTCTCAAAAAATAAAAACAAACAAAAATTCAGAATAAACTGAGGTCAGAAGGAACCACTTTGCATAGGTAGGAAAATAGAAGTTTAGAAGGAAAGGGGTCATGTCAGTTGACAGAGGGATGTGCCAGACATTCTAGTCTCTCATACTCACTGCCCTTGCTGCCTTGGTCTCCATGGGAACATGCAAAGGCTAAAAAAAATCCTGCCCTGGGGCTGGAGAGATGGCTCAGAGGTTAAGAGCAATGACTGGCTGTCCAGAGGTCCTGAGTTCAATTCCCAGCAACCACATGGTGGCTCACAACCATCTGTAATGAGATCCGGTGTCCTCTTCTGGCCTGCAGGCAAATATGCACACAGAACACTGTATATGTAATAAAAATAAGTAAAAAAAATCCTGTCCTGGGTGAACCAAAATAGACTCCAGTCTTCTTGGCTGGGCTGGTATATAACACCCCCGGCCTCCACATACAGCACACACATGTGTATGTGCAGCTGAACACACGAATGTACTGCCCACATGAACACCCTCTCACACACACAGTGAATAAATACCAGTGCCCACAGTTCACTTTTATTTCATCTGTGTGTGTACACACATGTACACACCTGCATTCAAGGGCTTGGTGGCACGTGATTTTACCCACTGAGTCATCCTCCTGGCCCTAATGTCCACAACATACATGCATGTGATGGGGTTTTCCAGTCCTGAGTGTGCCAAGTTAGCCAAGCAAAAGCTTTACTCGGAAGGCGGTTGAGCGTCAACAGCCACAGCGTTCTTTATCCAATTAGAAGCGTCACAAGTATCACTGTGACTGTGACTTTCTTCCAAGGAGGCAGAGGGCAACTTTTATCACCAACAACAAGGAAGGCACAAGCATGAATCAGCAGGAACTTAGTCTCTCCCAGCATGAGTCAGCAGGAACTTAGTCTCTGCCAATTCCTTATCACCTCTGGTTTTTTACACGAGTCTGAGGAATCCAACTTGCTCACTGGGCTGCCTCCCCATCCATCTGTATTTTTTTCTAATTATTTGGTTTTGCTTTCTTAAATTTTGTTTTGTGGAGCTGGAGAGATGGCTCAGTAGAGGATCAGGGTTCTTTTCCCAGCACCCATGTGGTGATGTCATTTCTAGAAGATCTGATGTGCTCTCACAGTCTGTGGGTACTAGGTTCACATGCACTATACAGACATACAGGGAAAACAGCCATACACATAAAATAAATTACGCTGTTTATTTTCTTTTGTTTGGCTCTGTGTCTTGGCAAGCACTCTATCATTGATCTATATGCTCAGACCACTCCATGTTTTTGTTTTGGTGATAGGGTCTAACCACATAACCCTGACTGGTCTGGGATTTGCTATATAAACCAGGTTGGCTTGGAGTTCACAGAGATCGCCTTCCTCAACCTCCTGAGTGCTGAGAATAGAGGTGTGTGCCATCAGCCAGGCAGTGGTGGTGCACGCCTTTAATCCCAGCACTCGGGAGGCAGAGGCAGGCGATCTCTGTGAGTTCAAGACCAGCCTGGTCTACAGAGCAAGTTCCAGGAAGAAACTGTGTCTCAGAGAGAGAGAGAGAGAAAGAGAAAGGCCTTTACTAGCTGAGGAAATGTGTGTACTCAAGCAGCTTCCTCCTTCCCTAAGTTAAGGTTAGTGGATGATCAGTCCACAACTGTTGTGTAAACATAACCCTGACCTGGTCTTGAGTTTGAGCCAATCCATCATCCAGAGTAAAAGCCTGTTTTAGGATACGAGGTTTTTGTTTGTTGGTTGGTTAATTGGGTCTTCGAGACAGGGTTTCTCTGTGTAGCCCTGGCTGACCTCGAATTCACAGAGATCCGCCTGCCTCTGTCTTCCGGAGTGCTGGGATTAAAGACATGCACCACCACTGCCCAGCAGGTTGTTTTTTTGTTTTTTTTTTTTGTTTTTTTTGTCTCAAATCAGGAGGGTAAAGAAGCCTGCCATTTTGGAAATTCAACGCCTTTATTACCAAGTCCTAGTCCTTTCTCATTTGTCTATCAGGAAATGTATCTTCCTCCCAATCCCTCACTACCACAGTGTTGTGTGAGTTTGGGGAGTCCCAACTGGGTGCAGCTCAGTAGCAGACTCTTTACAGACCTGGGAGAGGCCTTGGGTCATCTCTAGAGCACACCCACACCCGTCAGCACCTGTGTCTGTCTCAAGTTCTGTGTCCTCAATGCCTTAGCTCTGCACGTCTGTCTCTGTCTCTCTTGTCTGGAGTCCCAGCCTCCATTTCTGGAACAGTGTCCAAGGACAAAGGGTGCTTCCCAGGTTTCTGGTGAAAGCAGGTCAACGCAGGTCTCTGCGGAAGCCACCATCTTTAGACCAACTGGGCACACTGCTTGACCCTGGCTAAGCAGACCATTTAGGTTATAGACAGATGGAATGCTCTAGGTAGCACAACCAAAATTATCTTGAGCTCTTTCCCTGTAAACAGCCAATTACTATCAACCTTTGAATCCGACCTACCGTTTTTTTGTGACTTTTAGATAAAACTCTCAGGAACTTGACACACCCTACCTTCACCAAGAGCAAAGCTAAATAGGTACTAACAACATAGGTTTCCTTGCTATTAAGGTCTGGGTGTGAAATATTCCCCTCCCCCACTCACCCTCCAATAGGCTCATGTGTTTGGTCACTTGGTCACCAAAATGTGACACACTTTCAGGAGAGTGTAGAATAATAAGAAGTAAAGTCTAGCTGGTAGAAGAAGGGTGTTGGGGATGGTTAGAAGCCAGCCCTGGTTGCAACCTGGCCATCTGTGTTGCCACCGTGATATTATCTGGCTGCATGGTCCTGCGGCCATCAATCCTGCCTTGCTTCCATGGTCCGTGGTTGGTAATCCTATGAAACTGCACCCCTGTGTATTGCTAGAAAAACGTATTTTCTTTTGTCCTTAAAGGAAGTTGGTACTTTATGAAGACACCACACAGGAGTGAGGATGGGTATCAATTGTTAAGAAAGGAACAGAGGCATTCTTGCTTCTCACTCTTCTTTGAACTGTTGGGGCTCTGGTGTGACCGTGGCCTTTTGTGCGGAGGCACCATCTGCCCTCCCGAGTGTGGCAATAAATTCCGCTGTGTGTCTGAGAGATGCCACCGGCAGTCACGTGAGCGGAGCGCATCGGAAACCCCTCTGTAGTTGAGTACAGGCGCTCTGCAGGATCCTGGCAGCTGCTGCAATGAAAAGAAGCCTTTCAAATGAGAGGTTCTCTGACAACTGCGAGGACTATAGGTGTACACCGTGAAGTTACTTGATGAAGTGGCTGGCCTACCCCCACAGGATAGGGACAACCCCAGAGTCAACCAGGGTAGGGACATACCGACTTTTCTTTGGCATCTCTGCCTTCAGTTTTGTGTTTATCTCTGAGACAGGTAGAAAGACAGGAAAGAGTATAAGTGCATGAAAAGTCAAAAGGTGGGCGTTGGTGGCACATGCCTTTAGTCCCAGCACTCGGGAGGCAGAGGCAGGTAGATCTCTGTGAGTTCGAGGCCAGCCTGGTCTACTGAGAGAGTTCCAGAACAGGTTCCAAAACAATACAGAGAAACCCTGTCTCGAAAAAAAAAAAAAAAAAAAAAGGAAGGAAGGAAAGAAAGAAAAGTGAAGAGGACCCCTCACCCGCAAACCTGGTTGAAGCCTTTCATTAGCAGAAAAACAAGAATTCCAGCAAAATTAACAACTGCCTAAAGCCCTTAGCCCTTCCCAGCTATAAACCCGCAGCTCTCTAGGAATTTCACCAGAAACTCTAAGCCTAAAGGCTCCTTCCTGGGTTTACCTTATGAACCAGCAGTCACATCTTATTCGATAATCTCATTTACCAAAAGTCGAACTGAAAGGAAGAAGGGGAAGGCTTCTTACCTTTTGAGATACAACTTGAAAGGCATCAAAATGATACATGTATGTGGTAATGTTTAGCTTTAATTATCAACTTGACACAACCTAGAATCACCTAGAAAGAGTCTCTGTGAAGGGCTGTGTACATTGAGTTGGCCTGTGGTCATATTTGTGGGGATTGTCTTTAAATTAATTGATGGGAGCAGGCACATTCCACTGTGGGGAGCATCATTCCCTAGGCTGAGGGTCCCCAACTATTTAAAGATAGAAAAAATTGAGTTGAGCACGAGCAAGCAAGTAAGCATGAATATATTCATATGTTTCTCTCTGCTCTTAATTATGGATGTGATGTAGCTAGTTGTTGCCCTGATTGTCCCACAATCATGGACTATAATTGAAATTTTAAGTCAAAGTAAGCCCTTTTCTTTCCATAGTTGCTTCGTTTTTGTTTGTACTGTCCTTCCTTCTTTCTTTCTTTCTTTGTTTCTTTCTTTCTTTCTTTTCTCTTTTAGAGACAAAGTCTCAATCTGTAGCCCCAGCAGACCTGAGAACTCTCTGTGTTAACCAGGCTGGCCTTGAACTCACAGAGACCCAACGGCCCCTGCCTCCTGAGTGCTGGGATTAAAGTCCCATGCCACCATTCCTAGCCCTTATTGTTTTTTGCTAAGTTATTTTATCATAGCAACAGAAATGAAACTGAAACACAAAGCTGATACTAAGAACCTTAATCTGGAGTCTCTCTCTTGAGAAATCCACACCCACACTTAAGTGTGTCTTAGTCTTCTCTGGAAGGTTCCTCCTTATCTCTCATGCTTCCTGGAGAAGCCCATGTTCATGCTTTCTTTCTTCTTTTTCTTTTTCTTTCTCTCTCTCTCTTCTTTTTCCAGAGTCTCGAGGACAGTCAACTTAGGCAGTGAAGTACAGAAAGCTGGTGCCGGTGTCATTGAACAACGGGACCATGTTCCAGCCCCAGTAAGCAGTAAGTGGCAGAACGTGGCAGCTTTGGCCACAAAGTTCTGGCTTTAGAGTTAAGGATAGAAGAAACGGGTTATGGAATTTGCCACCGTGCTGAAAGAAGGCCTCTGTGGCCAGGCGTGTGTCAGGGGTGTCCCTGAATGGAGGTATACTAGAGAGGCCATTGCATGAAGCTATAAAGTTGAAGCCTGGATTGCCTTGGAGACCCCAAGATGTTAAGAGACGCCAGAGTTGTGGGATGCTTGCTGAGGAGAGCTGCTGACAGGGAATGGAACCAGCCCTAGAGAAAGGAGTGCGCTGCAGTCAACCAAGCTGAAAGAAGTCAGAGATCTGAAGACATGAAGATGCAGCGTTTGGAGCTTGCCCAGCTGGTTTCAGTCTTGCCCTGGTGCACTATTTCCTCACTCCGCTCCCTTCCCTAAGGTTTGGAATGGTAATGCATATCCTGTGCCATTACGTGTTGGAAGTATGTGATATTTTTTTTTTTTAGTATTTTTATAGGGGGTTGCATTTAAGAGATTGTATGAATCTCAGAGAAGACTTTGAACTTTGGCCTTTTAAACACCGTTGAGACGGTGATAGACTGTGAGAACTTTTGGGTTGGAGTCTGCATTTTGCATTATGATATGACTGCAAGCTTATGGGGGTCAGGGAGTGGAATGAGGTAGTTTGAATGTAATTGGCCTCCATAATCTCCACACTCACAGGGATCGTGGCTTTGTTGGAGTGGGCCTGGCCTTGTTGGAGGAAGTAGTTACTATGGGTGTGGGCTTTGAGATTTCCTATGCTCAGGACACTGCCTAGTGTCAGTTGGACTTCCTGTTGTCTGCAAGATGTAGGACTCTAAGCTGCCAGCATCATGCCTGTCATGCTCCCCCCATGATGATAACAGACTGAACCCCTGAAATTGTAAGCAATCCAGTAAGCGGCACCCCTCCATGTCCTCTGTATCAACTCCTGCTTCAGGATCCTGCCCTGTTTGAGTTCCTGTCCTGACCTCCTTCAGTGATGAACAGCAATGCTGAAGCGTAAGCCAAATAAACTCTTTCCTCCCCCCTCAAAAGAAAAAAAAAGAGTCTCTCTCCATACCCTGCCTGTTTGGGAACTCCCTATTAGGCCAGGCTGGCCTTGAACACAAAGATTAGCTTGTCTTTGCCTCCCAAGTCTGGGCCACCACGCTAGGTGCAAATTTTCAGTTTTAATAAAACCCCAACTCTGGTTCACACTGTCTGAAATTCTTTCCTGCACCTATGCCACGAATCCTGTTTTGGTTTCAGTGGAGGCTCCTAAAAATCAAGGGAACTCCCCAGGCTGCTGAGGGTGATGGTACAGACCTATGTCCCTGTTCCCTCACTCCTGTCCTCTTTGCTAAGATGCCTGCTTGACTTGGCATGGGCGTGTTAGTCATTTAAGGAGTGTCTGTCTAAAAACCTGTGCTATCCCTGTCTTTGCACTTCAAGATCAACCACACAGACTCATCACCCTAAACTTAAAGTTACCTTTGGTTCCCAGGAACAGAAGAACTGACCAACCCCCCAATAAAAGCAATTACCTCTGCTGCCTGAGGCTGCACCCTGGGGCAAGACCAAGTGTCTCCAGGGAAAAAGCCTGTTCACTCTTGCAGTAAGGACTTCATCTTCCAGCCAGCCCTCAGAACCAGAACATCTCTGAGACAGTGATCAGCCAGAGAGACCTTGAAGAGACTGCTCCGTCATGCATAACTCCTGTCCACTCTAATTCTTCCTCTACTTAGTCCTAAAGCTCCCGCCAGTACCGCAGGCAGACCCGGCACACATCTCAGCCAGTAAAGGTGCTTGCTTTCTGAGGAGTCTGTTCAATTTCTAGGACCCACATAGTCGAAGCAGAAAATTGACTCTTGGATGTTGTCAACTAACACTTACTGTGGCATGTGCCCTTACTCTCCCAAGTAGATAAATGAAATAATACTTTTTGCTTTGTTTAGTTTTTGAGACAGGAACTTAAACTCATAGAGATCTGCCTTCCTCAAGTGCTGAGTTTGGAATGGAAGGCATAGAAGACCAGACCTGCCTTTTGGTTTTTTTTGTTTTTGTTTTTGTTTTTGAGACAGGGTTTCTCTACATAATCCCAGAGTTCTCACAATGTAGACCTTGAACTCACAGAGATCTGCCTACCTCTGCCTCCAGAGTGCTGGGATTATGGACATGAGCCTCCATAATAGAAGTGAACTGTGGGGACACAGTTTTTTTTTTTTAAGTTTTTTATTATGTACAGAGTGTTCTGGCATGTAGATGGTTGTGAGCCACCTTGTGGTTGCTGGGAATTGAACTCAGGACCTCTGGAAGGGGAGCCAGTGCTCTTAAACCCTGAACCATCTCTCCAGCCCCCACTCCCTTTTTAAGATTTTTTTTTCTGAAACCAAATACCAGTGATTCTCTGGCTGGAACACAGATTTACATTGCCATAAATACCATGTTTGCTCTGTGAAAGTGGCTGCACAGAAGACATTTTACTGATTGCAAAGAAAAGGAGGTCGTAAATTAAATTGTTTACCAAATACATTGGTTGAGGTTACAGAGTTACAGCAAAATGGGGAAAACTGCCACAAGTCTCAGACTCTAGCTGGTGACAAGCTAAGCTTCTGGATGGGTACAAATTAGTGTCTGCTAAGACTATTTTATTATTATTCCTTATAAGATGTATTTGTGCCTGGAGGTGGTAGCGTATGCCATTAATACCGGCTCTTGGGAGGCAGAGTGGAGGCATTTGGCACAGACACTGCTCCCCCTCCCCCCATTCATTTAAAAATAATAATAATTCTGGGGGGGCTGGAGAGATGCCCCAGTGGTTAAGAGCACTGACTGTTCTTCCAAAGGTCCTGAGTTCAATTCCCAGCACCCACATGGTGGCTCACAACCATCTACAAGTCAATCTGGTGCTCTCTTCTGGCATGTAGGCAGAACACTGTACATGTGATAAATAAACAAATCTTTTTTTTTCTTTTTTTGGTTTTTCGAGACAGGGTTTCTCTGTATTGTTTTGGAGGCTGTCCTGGAAGTAGCTATGTAGACCAGGCTGGTCTCGAACTCACAGAGATCCGCCTGCCTCTGCCTCCTGAGTGCTGGGATTAAAGGCATGAGCCACCAATGCCGGGCGCTAATAAACAAATCTTTAAAAAATAATTCTGGCTAGGTTTCCAGAGTAACTGAGATTAGATGTGCCGCCATGCCTAGCTCTATGTCTTTTATTTCATTTAGCTAATTAGATAGTTAACAGTTTTGACTTGTTTTTGAGAGAGTCTCACTATGTAGGACAGGCTGACCTTGACCTTGCAGTGATCCTTCTGAGTCTGGAGAAGGACAATGACACTCTGGGCTTCAGTCATTTT